AGAGCTTGAGTCAGCATTGTGAGAGATGTGGGGACCATTGGATGGTCAGGAGAGCCAGGGTAAATTCTTTTTTCTGGAGTCCAGCCACTTCGCAGGAAATGTTGAGCAAGGAAGGGAGTGAAAGAACATTTTCCTTCTGCTGAGGAGTTGGTCTACCCAGAATAGATGCTGCACTTTTCACCATGAGCAGACTTCCTCACTGAGGTCACCACTGAATTCCCCACCATGCAGTTGAGCTACTGAGGAGCCAGTGCAAAGCAAATGTCCTCTTGCAGCACCACAGGGGCAGAAGTCTTCTCCTACCTCAGCCCAACCACTGGAAGGTTTGGGGTCCACTTACAAAGCAATGCAGAGGGTCCCTCTCTAGTGAGCATGTTCATGAGTTCCCCAGTTTGTGAATGCAAAGCCAGTCACACCAAGAACTGATGTCCTCAGAGTGAGGATTCAGGGCAGACCATTCACACCTGGCCTGAAGGTTCAGATCGATGTTTTAGATCAAATCCAGCATGGACTCAATGAGGGTTTAACTTGCACTGCATGAGCAATCTCATGACACTCCAGATTAGGATGCATGATGTTGAGGCACTCTTGTCCTTAAAGGAAGGGGAAGAAGAAAGTGGAATTGTTTGCTGAACTTTCAGCTGTTGGTTCAGGCTGTCAGATACTGGGTGTGTTCAGCAAAGGGTCTCTGCTGATGGCTTTTTTATAGACAAACATGGTGACTCCAGGGCCATTGCTAGTTATACTACATTAAAAAAAAGTTGGATTTGGGTTTTATCTAAACACTCTGCTGCTCTTTCCACTTTTAGGTGCCTTTCTAACTTCATACAAGTTGTGTTTTGTTCTAAAGAAATTTTTGGTCTTCTGACACAAATGCTCAGCTGGACCAGGGATTGGACATGCACAGGGCAAAGCAGTTGGGACCTACTGAGGTCTGAACAACATAAAAAATGGGAAGAAATCCTGCCATGCTGCCAAGAGACATCCCATCAAATACTCCAGTGATCATAGAAACATGGAATGGTTTGGGTTGGAAGGGACCTTAAGACCATCTTGTACTAACACCCTGCACGGGACGGGGACACCTTCCACTAGACCAGGTTGCTCCAAGCCCTGTCCAGCCTTGAACACCTGGTCTTGTTGGTCTTCATCTGGACTCGTACTTGAGTAGATCCAAAACTGGAACTATTTACTGGCTGCCCCTGAGAGTAGCTGGGTGGGATGAGAGCCAGGCAGAGGAGTGGGCAGGACAGCACCCAACCCATCCTTAGACATCATTTAGTACCAAGCCACACAAAGGGAACTCAGGTGTTAATAACCATCCCTTCTGCTGGCATCCAGGAGTGCTTTCTTGAGGAGGGACAGAGAATTTTGAGGTACTTATGGCATCACCATGGATGATGTTTGGCTCTGGCAACTTTACATTCACAGCTGGACAGCCAGGGGTACCTGGGTGTCTCAACTGTCTCTACAGACAGTGTGAGACAATGAGCACCCACAGAAACCATTCATCCCCAACCTCTGAACACTCCCTGTGGAGTGAGATGAATTCTCACTGGAACTGCCTTATTCTTCCCATCGAACACAAAGAGTAACTGATCCACCAGCAGGATGGAAAGGGGAAATGACCCCAGATTGTCTTGGGAGAGTCATGTCAAGGAAGGCATAGAAAAGTATGAGGGCTCTGGCAACACTTTGGACTGCCACCTGGTTCTGGTGAGCCACTCTGAGAGAATTCAGCCTGAAACTAGTGCAGAGAGAGTTTGTTGGATTGTTCAGGAGAGAGGAGAGTGTCTTACAGAGATGACTCAGCTCCCTGATCTCTGAGAAATGGATGCTGAGAGAAGACACATTTGTGGAAAACCAGAGATAGACACAGGGGAGGGACATGGGCTAAACCCTGGCACCACCTTAGGGCAAGATGAGTGAAAATGAACAGACCATGAATATCCCTGTGTCTGAAACAAGGAGATGCTGACCAAGCATTGGAATCATCAGGGTCCACAGGAGTGACCTCAGAGAAGAATTAGGACAAGAACCTGGTGGCTGCAAAAAAGAGCCTGGTCAGGTTCTGGGTGACATGGCCCAGTGTGGCTGCCTCTCACAGCAGGCACTGAGCACTGCCAGGGGTCCCACTGTGGTCTCTGTGCCCAATGTGAGAAATCAAATTTAATTCTCCTGTAGCTTTTGCTAACTCTAAGACTAAACAATGAGGTTCCCCCAAGTAGAATTATTCTTCACTTTAATCAAAACCCAATTTAGATCCAGGTCAGATAATAAGTCAAAGCAGCTGAGGGAAGTCAGCAAGGAGCGTGGATTCCTTCTGAAGCCTCTTGGATTTCTGTCTGTATCACAGCACCAAACATCATTTGGTTGGACTTCTGCTTGGAAGAGGCCTGGGACTAAGAGAAGCAGAGCAGCCAGAATCACAGATTGAGAGGGGATTTGTGGAAATAATAGACATTTTTCCCACCTTCTTCTTCAGTCTCCAGTGTCTCTTCAGCAGGCTGGGAATCAAACCACGTGGCCACTGGATTGATGTGCTTGGGGGAAGAGCCACAGAAGGAGTGGGGTAGCCTGGCGCCGTGGGGAAGAACCGAAATACCCAGCAGCTGCCAGAGCTGTGTGGGAGCCTGGGCAGGAACAGCCAGGGAGCTGCAGAGCAGGGCTGAGCTCCATTCCCAGAGCTGCGTGGGGAAGGCTGATGGCACCTGCCCACATCCTCTGTGACTGCACATGATGCCACGTCTCCCTCAGTTTCAAGACCAGCAAATTCACCCTTCCCTGCTTTTTCTCTCCAGGAGAAAGAAGGGAAAAAAGAAAAAAAAAAGCCAACCGGGAGACCACAGATTTCCAGGCTAGGCTGTGCTAAGGCGGCACAAGCTGTCAGCAGCGCGCCGGGAGCAGCGGGAGCAGCCAGGAGGAGCTGGGGTGCCCTCGGCAAGCTGGAGATCTCATTGTCTGCGTGGCAGAGAGCAAGAGGGAAGGAATAGGGACCAAAAATAGTCTAACAGTTGAAGGAGTAAGACTGTTCCTGTGACCTCTCACAGTTGTGTTGGGTTAACAGTTGGACTCGACGATCTTAGAGGTCTTTACTGTCCTTTGCAGCTCTGTGGTTCCTTGATTCTCTAATGCTGTGCTGGGGGGTCTGTCTTCCTCCACCAGTCCAGAGCAAGGTCCTCTCCATTTTTCCAGGTGTGATCTGTTAGTCCAGGCACATCTGCTCAGGCCACCCTATCCAGCCCCTTTGCCCTCCTTTGAAATCCTCACCATGGGTACACTCCAGCAGCATCTGCAGCTGCAAACATCTGGATGGGGTTTTCCAATGAGCCTGCTCTGAAATCAGGGCATTGCTTTCTGCAGGACCCCTGGGCACAGCTGGCACAGGAGGGGAAAGCTGGGGTGGGCAGCTCTGATCATTCCAGAGGACCCACCCGTAGGGGTCTGGCCTTTGGCTTAAAACGTTTAAATGCCAATGCTGGAAGGAATTCCTGGCAGGTGGAGAAGACACCTTGTGCCTGGGGAGTGCTGCCTGCTCAGCAGGCCCCAGGAAAAGCTGGGTTCACATTTTTGGTGTGTTGGGGGACACTGCGGTGCTATTTCTGGGTGAGATTTAATGGACTCAGGCTGAATCCTGGGAACTTGTACAGCAGCAGGAAAATGAAATGCCAGCTATTCCTCAGTCTGGCTGCATCCCGCCTCCAAATACTTTAAAGGCTTTGACCCAGCTGTTAACTCAGAAGTGGACACTGGTCCATGTGTCTCATCCATCCCTCCTGCCTAGCTGGGTGCCCAGCAGGGTCTGTGCTGAGGGCCCTGTGTGGCTGTTGATGGCAGAGCTGCTTGTGGCTGTCCCTGAGCAAGTTCCTGATGCCATCCATCCTTTCCAAAGTCTGGTTACCAGCACAGCTGAAAAGCCTCACCTGCAGCATCACCCCCAGGAGATGCTGAGCTTCAGCCAGCCATGTGGGACGGGAGACAGCAGAGCCCTCCCAAAGCCATACCCCATCCCATGGGATGCTGCTGATTCTCATCCAACTTTCTGTGTCAGACAGCACTGGGGCAATTTCTCCTGGATTAATTTGGGGACCATGTGATTAGGCTTTTGCCTGATTTCCTCAGGGATGTCCCAAGTGTGGGATGGCCTCAGGATAAATTGGATTCTGTGCCATCCTAGGGCTGAACGGGTTAATTTTTGTGCTTCCCTCCCCAGCTCGCTGCGGACTCTGGCTGGGACAGAACATCTGTCTGTTGCTATGGCTGCAGTACACTTGAAGGGGATGACTGGATAATTATTGCAAACATCCATCCTGCCTGGTGTGCTCCCGGACCCTCCCTGCCCCAGCCAGGGCAGCGGCCGCTGCTCGGGCCCAACTTCCCTCACAGGGACCCTACCGAGGAATGGTGAGTTGGCATCACCTTTTCATTTGCATAATTAATGTGGCCGAGGCTGCAGGGCTCCTGGGAAATCCGACGCAGAGCAGCAGAGATGAAATGGCACGGAGGGCTCCAGCCTTCTCGAGGCTCCTTAGAGCTCGGCTCCTTGCTGACTTTGGAGCTATAGGGGAGTCGTTCTTCCCCTGCCGTTAATTCACCTCCCACTTCTATCCGAGCAGATTGCTCTGGGCTGAGCCTGCCGTGCCTCCTTCAGGCACAGGCTCCCACCTGGCTGCTGCTGAGCAGGACCCTGCCAACTCAGCACAAACCAGACCCCTGGATTGTCACACCATCGGGGGCTTGGGAAGCAGCAAGGTCCTGGGTCACAGCGTGGACCCCAGGCTTTCCCTGGTTCTCCCCTAGGTAGGCTGCTGCTGCTGCTGCTGCTGCTGGCACTCTTGCCTGTGTTCCCTGCCTGCACACCCTGCCTCTGTTCCCCTGCTTGTGCTCCCTGCCTGGGCTTCCTTCCTGCTCTCCCTGCCTGTGCTGTTGCTGTCTGCAGTCAGAACCTTGCTGGGTTCAGCTGTGCCCACTGCTCACTCTGCAGCAGCTGGACACTGCCCTGTGTGTGTGGCTGTGGTGCCAGAGCTGGATCCTCAGCAGAGCCTGCTGCCAGGATCCCTGGCCTCTGGTGGAGCCCATTGCCACTCAGCACCCGGTGATCCACCTGGGATCCCTGGCCTCACCTTGCAGCTGCATGTGCTGGAGCGTGGCATTGCCTAGCCCCACTTCTCCCAGTAATTCCTTCCCCTGCTCCTAGGAGTCAGCCTGCCCCAAAATACCTGTGTCCCCTTTGTTCTTGGGGTTGCTGCTGTTCTTTTGCTTACTGGCATTTAACCCTGCCCAAGATCTCACACTGGGGGTGTTCAAAAATCCAGATCTTGCCCTGTGGATTGTCCCTGTTTCAGCAAGTCCCACCTCTAAATTAACAGAGCAAAAGATAATGCAGAAGTTCCCCTTCCAAGCAGCCACTGCTGTTCTGTTTAACTGGGAACTTCAATGCAGCCATTGTACATTTTTTTTTCTGTTTATCAACATGTGGTGGGTAAGAAGCCCAAGTGGAGCTGGGACTGGGATGAGGGCAGACCTCCACAGCCACTGGTCAGCAAACAGCACCAAGCTGGGACCCTCAGCCTTGCTCACTTTCACTCTGCAGGGATCCAGGTAGGCTGTGCAGGACAAGGCTGCCTCTTGCTTTTCTCATTACCTCTAACATTGTCAATAAATAATACTATTTTCACACAGTGCTTTGGATCTGCAGAGCAGCTGTCAAGCACTCACTGGTATGGAGCATTCCCAGAGGATCCATAGTTAAGGTAGAGAAGATGGAGGCAGGTCATGGGAGCATAGATAGGTAGGGATGGAGCCAGGTCATGACACACACACATCAGGCAGTGCTGCCTCTTTAAAGTAGGAAGCAAGATGGCACAGAGATGGAGAGATATGTGGGCTACTCCTGGGTCCTGTCTGATCCTTATCATCCCAACATTTTTGTGTATGATTCAACAAAGTCCTTTGCTTGCACAACTTACTTGATTCTCATCTCTGTGACTCAGGTGCAAATGATCTACTCACATTTGCAGTGAGAGAGTTGAGCCCTGTGGCTACAAAACCCCAAACACAAAAGACATCCTCACTTTGATTCAACCTGGAGGACAGAGCCAGGTGTTTCACTTTTGGAGGCCCTTGCAGAGGGAATGGGGTGAATGAGGGTGGCAGGTGGGTAGGTGTCACATGAGCTCTGTGACCTGGCTCCCAGGCACAGATGAGGCTGGCATCTGCATGCCACACATGCAGAAGGTCTGTTAGAGTGTGAAGGGCTCCCGGAGTTCCCCTCTTCCCCCAGGAGCTCATCATATCCTGCCCCCAAGGAAACTCTGGGATCTGCTCTCCTGAGTCAGGCCTTGGGCAGCCAGGGCAGGCTGGGAAGAAGGTGTTCTGCTCCACAGAGCAGGCTGCAGGGAATTGCAGGCGCTCAGCACCTCTGAAAGCCCTGCCATAGGGTGCCCAAATCCCCTGGGAGGAACCTCACTGCTGGCTGCCTATGCTTGGAGGTGACTCGCCTGAAAACACACAGGGTACCCAGGAGCTGCAGGGCTGTGGGAGGATGCAGGCAGGAGGATTGCTGTGACAGGCAGAAAGATGGTGCCACTTTCTTCTTGCAGTGGGGTATCTGCGGCAGCCTGGAGCAGGTGGGAGGCTTCTCCTCCAGCCCCTGTGGGGACAAGCTATCTGTGGTCCCACTCCTATCCCATGGCAGAGTGTGAGGCATGCATGGTCTGACAACAGTGTCAGTCCACGGGTGACACCTGTGTCCCCAGGCCAGCCCTTAGAGGAGAAAGTGCTCTCGGGGGCAGCTTTGGTTTCTGTGCTCCCCCAGGACTGCAGGCAAAGCCATGGCTGAAATGCAGAGCTGTGCCTGGCAGCAGGGCAGTGGCTGCAGGGGGAGGAGGAGGAGTGGGCAAGGACACTTGTCCCCCAAGGACAGCCCTGGCTTGGAGCTGGCAATGGGGACTGGTGTGGGGATGGAGGCTTGCCACCTCCCCTACCTCCTGGGCTTGGCCCCATTTCCAGCGTGTCTTGGCACCATATGGCGCTTGCTTTATTTGTTCTGCTGCGACTTGGGAAGGAGGGCAGTGTTTCATTGTCTGGCAGAGGAGGTGGGACGCAGGCACAGGAATATGCCCGTGTCCCGTGGGATCACTGCCTGAGCCAGGCGCTCCACATCTCGTCCGAGCTGCGGGTCGGTGTCCTCATCTTTCCAAACAGAGGGGTTTCCCCGGAGAGTCGCTGCCGGAGATTCACCCACCCACGTGGCGTCGGAGCTGAAGCAGCACCGCGTGTGCGGGTGCGTCCCGGTGCGGAGCACGACCGACCCGCCACGGGACGCTGCCTGTAGGAGGAAAACGTGGCAGCGCTGCTCCTGACTCATTGCACAGGCAGGAATCCTGCGACAGCGATGCCGGGCTTGCCCAGCACCAAAAAGTGACAGCATGCTCCACCCACCCCGGCTGCGGGAGCAGGAGCCTTCTCCGCATGCCCGCGGTCTGGAGGAGCCGCTGTCCCGTGCCCATCTCCCCGTCCTGCTCCGTGACACTCCAAATCTCATCCGAGCGCCTCGCCTGCCGCCCCGCGCTCCCCCGGCTCTGCCTTTCCCTTCCCTCGGTTGCCCAGGGCTCAGCCCGCCCCACGGAGCTCTGGGATGGGGAGGAAGGGGAGAAAGGCTGCTCGGAGGCTGAGGCCCAGCCCTCCCAGATTTGCATATTTTTTACTGGCTCCCAAACAACACGTTTCTCCGGGGAAGTGAATGCGTCGCCCGCTGTTCCCGAGGGTGCTGTGTGCTGGGACAGCAGCCGCTCTCCGTGGAGGGGACGCGGTCCCGGCACCCACCGCGGTCCAGCTCCACACGCCCGCACATCTCTGCTGCCGCAGGAAAAGCCTTTTCCTTGGTGGTTTCAGAATTCACGGGCTTTAATGCTGCTGCCCTGGGACTAGGTCCGGTCCCTCTTGGCTCACAGGAGTCCCGGAGGCGGCCGGGCTGCAGCCGCCTGCGCAAATCTGCTCATTTCTATTTTGCCACTAGAATTTCCAGCATGTCCCTCCTCTCGTGTATAATTTAGTCGCATGACAAGGAACCGCGCGAGGAGGGGAAGAGCATGGGGAAACTTGCAAAGTCAGCCATGGAGAGGGAATCTGTGTCAGGAAGCATCACAAAGAGAGCCGGGGGATTGGCTCCGGTCGCCTCCAGCGGCTGTGTGTGTGCCAGCCCCTCAGGAATCGCCCGGCGGCTCCTTCCCTCCCTGCGTCCCTCTCGCCTTCCCTGCGCTGCGGCCGGGCTGGGACAGCCCATCGCCGTTGCCATGGCTGCGGTGTGCGGAGGGGGGGCTCGGCCGGGTGCCCCCGCCGGAGCATCCCGCGCCTTCCTCCCGCCGGCCCCATCGGATACGCTCCGGCCCCGCCACGGCCAAAGCCGCGCCGTGGATTTGACACCCGTGGGATTAGACAGGGCTGTGCCCGCGGGAGGAGGAGAAGTAGAAGAGGAGGAGGAGGAGGGAGCAGGGCAGCTCCGGGCTGGGCGGCCGCCAGCCGCCCCGGGGAGGGCCGGGAGGGCGGCGGGCAGGTAGGGCGGGCAGGGCGGGCGGTGCGAGGGGGGCCGGGGCCGCTCCCCAGGGAGCGGGGGGGCCCCGGCGGGGCGGCGCGGGGCACAGCTGATCCCCGGCCGCAGCTGATCCCCGCCGCCCCGCGCCAGCTGCCGCAGCGTGGGCGCAGCCGCGGTCCCGCGTGTCCCCGCCGGCACCGCGCACCCCGGCCCGGCCGAGCGTGGAGCCCCCGCGGCGGGGGGAGCAGCAGAGCCCCGCGGCGGGGAGCGGCCGGTCCCGGTGTCCCTGCGCTGTGCGGGACCGGCGGCGGGAGGAACCTCTCGGTCCTGCCCGCGGCCGGGGCCGAGGAGGAGGGAGTGGGGGCTGCTCCGTCCCCGCAGCCCGGACCGCCCAGCAGGGAGCGGCCGGAGCGGCTCCTGCCTGAGAAAGGGGGGCGGCGGGCAGCGGGGAGGGGGAGGCCCGCGCTGCGGGCAGCTGCCTCCAATCCCTCCAGCTGCGGCCCCGGGAATGGCCCTGCCCGGCTGTGCCCTCCCCGAGCTCTCCCTGGGGCGGCGGCTGCAGCCGGACACTGGCCTTGCTGCGAGGAGGCTCGGGGAGCGGCCGTGGGACCGACCATCTCCGGAGCCGGGACGCCGGGAGCGAGGGCGGCAGCAGCACAGCGGGCCGGGACCGCGGGTGTCGGTTCTCCCAGCCCTCGCTGGGAGCCACCCCCCGCCCGCCCACGGCTGCCGGGGCAGGCGGTGTGTGCCCCAACACGAGCCGCGGTGTGTTCGCTGCCCCCGGGACCCTGCGCACGCACTCGGGGATAAGCGAACAGCGGCTCCGCCGGGGGCGGGCAGCTCCCGTTCCCCCGGGGCGCGCTGGGTCGCGGTGCTGCGTGGGGTCGGGGCGCAGCGAGCCCCGGCAGTCCTGCAGTGCAGGAGAGGGTGTCATGGCCTCTGCGGTGCCACCAGGCTCGCGGTGCTCCCCCCTGTGCGGGCAGGATGCAGGCAGGGTGCCTCCGTGCTCACGATTACCATCTTGTTTGGAGCCGAGGCAGCGGCTGTAATCTGATGCTCTCAAAGTTGGTGTTTACAAGGGACATGGCAGCCATCAGAGGCTCTTCTTGTTCTCCTGGTGAAAGCATATTCCTGTCTCCGCCGCGTGTGGCTGCTCCGTGTGCCAAGCACCGCCCGGGTCACACTGAGCATCCTGCAGGAACACCTTAGAGGGTCAGAACCTCCAGAGCTGCTGTGCTGTCTGCCCAGCGGGATCGGGACCCCCACGCTGGGGGCTTTGGTGGGACAGTGAGTTCAGACCCTCTGGTGCAGTCGGCATTTGGGGCCAGCCTGCTCGGGGTGCCTGCAATGGCCGTGTGCCGTCAGGAGCCCTCCTGCTTGGACAGGGGGTGCTGGGAGGAGGGCGAGCTGGCTGCCCTCGGGACTCATCAGCTCCCTGTTGACAAATCCTTTCACTCTCGAGCAAGCAGAGCAGGACAGAGCCCGGCCCGAGGATTCCCAATACCACTCCAGCCCTGCAACTATGCGTCCTTGCTGGGAGCCCACAGGGCACCCATCTCCCCAGCTGGGGGGCGGTCTGGTGAGATGCCTCCCACCTGAGTCCTGGCACCCCCTCAAGCTGCCCTCACAACCCGAGCACCGGCAGCCCCACCCAACAGGGCTCATCTCCAGAGCCAGGAAACGCCGCTGGCATCTGTGCCCTCATCTTTTCACGGGGGCTGCAAATCGCATCGGTCGCGGCACTCAGAGCCCGGTTCCAGTGCGGGTGCTCCAGCAGGGTCCGGGAGCTTTGGCACGGCTCCCACAGCACAGCATGACACGGGACTGTGCCTGATGAACAGATGGCACCAGTGCAGCCACAGCCAGGTTTGGTGGCAGAGAAGAACCTGCTGCCCTGTATCCGGGCTGCTGCAGGAGTAGGGACCTGCGCCCCGGCCCTGGGGAGGGCCCCAGGGATGCTGTTTGCAGAATGCTGGCTCCAAGGGCAGGCTCTGCTCCGGGCAGGTCTGCGAGAGCCGTGCAGGATCAGCAGCAATAAAAGCTCCATGAGCCCTTTGTGCTGCACCATGTCTGGGCAGCACTGCCTGTCACAGGGCAGCAGAATCCCTGTTTGGGGGTTTTGTGTCTCCAGTCCATGGGGGTCCTGGTGGGAGGAGAACACAGGTGAAAGCCAAACCAGCTGCAATGGGGGAAGTGCTGGTGATGGGAGCTTGTGGGTGGGTGTGGGGACTGCAGATACCTGGGCCAAGGCAGGAGGTTATAAGGCAGGTTGGAAACCAGGACACGTCATGGCAGGGAACAGCCTTGGGAGGGGATGAGGCTGGAGCTGGAGCACACTGAGCTTGGAGGCCACAGTGAGTGAGCTGCAGTTATTCACGGCGCCATTATTACAGCCACCCATTTCCAACACCCTCGGCGAGGCGGGAGCACAATGTGCTCCAAGGAAATGTGATTGTGGGTCCTGCCCCTTGGCCCGGTGCTCGCTGCACTGTGCAGATGGAGCTGGCAGCGCCTCGGCTCCGCTGCCTGGAGGGAGAGCGAGATGGCGGAGGGGAGGCAGGACTCGTCCTCACGGGCACAGGCAGAGCTCTGCGGGAGGGGACAGAGCTGGCGCCATGGGGGACAGACACAGCGACAGGGAGAGGAGAGGCGAGGCAGCCCCGGGCTGGCCATGGTGGCCACTCTCCCTGATGATCCCTGCCCCAGCCAGGAGTGCTTTCTCCTTCTTCCTGGAGTGGAAGGAGTGATGGGCGCGTCACCTGCACGGGCTGGATGTGTCACCGGCCAGCTGCTATGGTTGACAGTGCTGCGCTTGCATCTCCGTGTCCCACAGCTGTCCACGGCTGGCCTGGCTTTCCCCTCTGATCTATCTGCTCATAGCTCAGAGGTTGGTTTCTAGGCAGAGCCTTAAAAACCACATGCATACAAGTACTAAAAAAAGCATAATTTTATTCAATAACTGCATTGTGTGCTCAGAATTTGCTATATGTGAGATGGAGCAAGTAGAAAAACTGGTGGAAAGGTGGGTGCTCCCCCTTTCTTTCACCTGCTCTGACAGTGCTCTGTCGAGCTGCTCCACGCCCGCAGCCCGGGGAGGGGGGCTCTGGCTCCCCCCCAAGTCCCACCCCATGCAGCCTGCCCAGCACGTTGGTTTCTCTGCACCCAGGGGGGCTCCAGAGAGCCCAGCATCCCGTGCTCCTGCTGCCTCCCTGGAACCCGGCCCTGCTGAGGCCACCTGCAGTGGGACAGGCACCCTCCGGCATCCCCCGGGGTGTGTATGGGGCGGAGGGGGGTGGGCTAACATCGATAAATCCATAAATACAGCTAATTCCTCGGTAGTGGAAGCTGAAAGTCCCAGCCTGCTTGGCTGGGAGCAGACGCCGTGAGATGTCCCCCAGAGAGGTGACGGGTCTCCTCGTTATTGTTATGATTATTTTTAATCTGCTCTTATCACAGCCAGCCCGACTGAAGAACTGCCTGACCCAGCGCAGCACAGGGCGTGTGCGGTGGGACGGGAGCTCACTCCATTACGAGCCGCGGGTGACAGAACGGAGCAGGGATGCTTGGGTTCAGTTTTATTGCTTTTGAATAAGTCCGGGGGCTCCTGGCCACAACCCGGAGCTGAGCCAGCGCGGGGGGCTCTGCCGTAGGCGGGGGCAGCCGGTGCTCGGGGCTGGGGCTGCTGCAGGGGCAGTCCAGGGGGGGCTGGGGTGGGATGACGGGGGTGACGCCCGGCTTTGGGGTGGGCGAGGAAAAGTGTGGCTCCGGGGCTCCCGACTGGGAAAGCGCTTGTGGGAACTGCGGGGGAGACGGTGCTGCTGGCAGCGAGAGGCGGGGGGGTCGAGGTCGGGGGGCTGCCTGC